AATCTTGAAGAGATCGGTTCAAGCAGCTGGGCTGCAAAATTAGAAGACCCGAAACGTAAGACTCAAGGAAGATATTCCAGCCCAATTCGACATACTATAATCCTGGCTGTGGAAAAAGAAAAGAACTAGCATAGTTTCGGTTAGTACCTACAAGTGTGAAAAGCCGAGATTAGAGAAAAAGAGAAAACTTACCCAAAAAGAAGAGTGCCAACCCTGAGTCAACATAGTACAATTCTGGGTTGAGGCATCTGGCATAAGTGGTACAATCAACGCTTTTGTATTCATGCTCATGGGACTAACGTAAAGTGTATCGTACCCTGTCTGGTTGATTCCCAACATACTGAGGACTACCGTTGTTGTTTCCAACTCTCCCAACGTATCGTGAACAGTTGAGATGATTGAATTCTGGTTTGAGGTCCAAGAGGAAAGCCCAACCATGGTTTTGATTATAGGGATAGTGAGTACAAGAGTTAGTGTATTAGTAAGCCGTATCGAAGGATTGAAGACAAATAAAAAAAAAAAAAAAAAAAAATGTACGATATTTACCCCTTGCCAATATGTAACCAACCTCGAAGAAAAGTTGAATCCTGAACGATGAAAACGACTAGACAAAGGCCTCGACGAAAGACTTGGTGTCCCTATTGTAGAAAAGGAAACTATGACGTTAGTAGCTGCCCAAAGATAAGAACGATATAGCTAGAAAGTTTGGAGTTGTTGAATACACTTACCCATAAACAAATCGTGGAAGTCCAGGAAATGGTTGATGAAACCATAAGAGACCATAGTCTTTATAACCCACAAGCCCTAGAATATTTTTTTAAAATATTAACAGATGTTAGCCAGGATAACAACCCTGATGGCGATGATGAAAGAGAAGATAATATTGTGCACCTGCCCTCGTATATCCAATTGAATCCGCCTCTAGTACCTTTTGTAGTCCCGTTCCGAAAGTTCTCCCGAAGTCTCGACAACCAAGACCTACCGTAACTGAAGTATTTGACGCCTACTATGACGAATCTGCAGAAGAACCTCTTGAAAGTATTGCCTTCGGCTCTAAGGAAGAAGAACGAGAAACCGAATTGGAAGTTCTTCTTCAAAAGCTCATCGCCGAATGTGAAGCTGTCGCACAAAAATGGGCCCCCGAAAAAGAAAAAGGCAAAAAAATGGAAGTCGAGAAAAAGAAAGTTAGTGACATTAAGGCAACAAAGAAAGAAGCTGAAGAAAAAAATAACAACATACCCGATGATCGCATTAAGGTTGCTAGAATAGAAGGTGCCGAAGAAACATACCCAGTTGGACCTTACTGCGAAGAAGTTGGAGTTAAGGAGGTTAAAGAAAAGAAAGAAATCGAAGTCGAAAAGGAAGAGGCTGGAGTTGAAAAGGACGAAGAAAAAGAAGTTGAAGTTAAAAGAGAAGAAAAAGAAGAAACTAAAGAAGAAAAAAGAGAAAAGTATGAGGAAAACGTGCCCGCGAGAATCGGAAAAATCGTAGGTGAAACCGAAGATAAAGACGATGACAACGAAGCTGACAAAGATGAAAAAGATAACGATGATGACGATGAGACGATTGTAGACGAAGAAGACGATGAAAAGAAAGAAGATGTAAAAGAACTTACCAAAAAAAGTAAAGACCTGGATTACGCCTGCGAATCGTGGATAACAAAGTTGAAGGATTTAGAAGTAGGGTCGGATGGAGTAGAGGAGAAAAAGAACCTACCAAAAATGAACCTGCCGAGGCCGAAGAAGATATGACGAATATCAGTGAATGTTACTGAAATGAAGGTGGAGTTAAAAAGAATGAAAATAAAGCCTTCATCTATCATCAAAGATCTGGCAAGTCAGGTGATGTGGATGCAACGTACCTGGTTGGAGATCGTTACGAAAATGGAGCCGGAGCCGAAAAAAACGAAGTATGGGAATGGCGTTGGAAATGTGCGGAAGACGGCGATTCGAAAGAACAATTCGATCCTGGTAGGTTTGACCAAAGCGGAATAATAGTGGAAAAGGATTTGGAAAAAGCTAATGAAAAGTGGAAGAAAAAAGTTAGAGTATTTTTAGACGAGAATGAGGGTGATTTCGATGAAAATAAGAGGGAAGAATTCATATCACCTCGAGTCCTGACGTTCGACGCTGCCCCTAGTCAAGTCGTAGAAGGTCCGTGAAATTAGGTGAAGAAGAAAAGAAGAGACTCGGAACGTATACGTCACGGAAGTCTTGATTTGGAAATACCCTAGAAAGAAAGAAAAGGAAGGCACAAGGCTAAAGAGGTTAAGAAACAGCCAATGCATGCCTAGAAACCCGACGAAAGAACTTGCCCTATACTTACTGCAGTGGAATGAAACTCACAAATATGACCCTGGGGGAAAACAATGAATGACCTTTACTGGGCTTACTACTGTGAAAAAAAAAAAAAAAAAAAGAAAGTGATAGAAAGAGTTACCAAAAAGACGAAAGTGATGAAGCGAAGAAGCCAGGAGCCAGATCATAGATCAAGATCGAAGGGTAGAAAAAGAGTAAAAATTCGCAGATCGGCAACATCCACTCTTATATACCCGAAATAGTTAGAAGTTTAATCATGTTGGATAAAATCATCAATGACATCACTCGGTCTGAATCTATTGAAATAACCCCGATGCCGCCGCCCTACAATGACTCACATGATCTGGCGAACCAGATATCCTTGACATGTTCTCTACTTACTCGATCTATTCGGTTACAAGAAAGAATCAACATCTTGGTATACTCCTACTACTTGGGGATGATTTTTGCTGGAGCAACTTCAGCTCAAAAAAGGCTACTCTGTGAACTGATTACGCCTCACTATTACATTACTGCTCTTAGAGTTTACGATATCTTTGTTGTTGTTGGCATGGCTCAAATCTATCAAACAGCAATAGTCACCTATTATGATATTCAAGACTTAAGAGTTGCAGAAGTAAGGCAAATTATTGATAACAGCTCGTAGAACTCGCCTTTAA